TCAGGTTTCAGCTGACTGGAAAAAGGCAGATCAATCGACCATTAGTGTACACAAACTTTACATCTTAATTATTATCAGTGTTAATTCGTCTTAAATAAAAAACGTTTTATTCTCTTTAGTTAGCTCCTAACTCATCATGGTCTAGGTCAACCACGACGGATGAAATGGGAGTATTCGCTACATTCCGAATCGTTCCATATGCTGAGTATAAACCAATCATAAAAATCGCGTCTATAAAAACTCACCAAGGCTTATTTATTATTTGGAAAAAAGTTTATTCATTATAAATGCTGTTTTCTGTACGAAGCGACAAGCGTTTCACAGAGACCCGTTTCGATTAGACCTGTATGTATATTTCACAGTTGGGGAAAAGAAACTAGAGCTAACCCAAGGCGACTGAATCCAGCTTATATTTCATTTACCACTTCTTTTGCGACGTCAATGAAGCCTACACTGGTAGAACCGATGATGGAGGGGCACATTTCAAAGTTCGTACGTGAATCGATGATACGGTCTAATCAAAATACCCTGGCGATATCATGTAGATCAAATTCGGGCATCACGCGTCACTCGGTCGAAAACGGTAACCAGAACAACCATACTGTCACGACAACGCGGAGAAAGTCCGTTGCTCACACTAAATCCACCCAGTGCGTCAAAAGCCTGTGACCTATCTTCTCTTTAACAGATAAAGAGCTCGTACACAGCCTTATGAATTTGAATTTATTAACTGATTTTATATCTGTCAAGTTTAATGTTATACTTACACAAACGACGATTGTATGCTAAAAGAATTACGCTCGTAGCGTTTGTTTTCTGAATTCCTTATTCTAACTCGTGCAAAAACGCACATCGTGGTAAAGAATGAGATCAGTCCATTGATATGGCCGGTAAGAATGAATTCGGCATGTTATCAATTTGGTTCGTAAATTCGTCTGGAATAGGCAGGCCACCCCTAATGGCAAAAATGTAACAGTTCGTTCAGGGCACTTGATCAAGGGTATTTGCATATTTAACACTGTGACAGTTTTTACATCGACCTACATTAGTCACCACGACTACCGGCGATATCAGGTCACCGTGTAGTGAAGATACGTTGATGGGGTGGTATAGCTTGGCATCCATTTGGAAATCAAAGCCCGCAATGGTTCGCCAGTCAATGATAAACAATGTGACATGTTATTCTATGGTATTGGATTCATTCACGCAAAACATTGCATATTTACAAAAAAAAGATAACATTGATTAAGGCGAGTTTACTGGCAGCAGTCCGATTCTCATGTAGTACGAATTTTTACATGCGATGCACCCAAGAGTTGTACATTACCAGTTTCCAGATGAATCCATTTCTGACATGCAAAACCTGGTGCTCCTGGCTCAATTTGTTTCGCTGCTTCCTGCTCTGTCCGTGAAGTTGTTGGCATAACAACAGATCACATCTATTGTGACAAGAAAACAACCTGGCCCAGTTATGCCGGAAATGCCTATCTCTCGTTACTGCACCATTTTCACAATTTCGGCACACTTTCCGGACAGACATTTTCCCCGGATATGTGACAAGAAGCATAAAACGATCGATAACACAACGGAGAGGCCCATGAAAAATGTGATGCATTCATGACGTACAAGTTGTCTCAATACCATTAAGTTTTGTTCAGTTCAACATCCAACATGTGCATAAGCATCATCCCGAATACCAACTGTCCGGCATATCAGAGGCCCGACGCGGATGGACGAACGAGGTGTTCTTTAATCACAAAACCCGCACACATACATGCATTATTTTATCAATCATTTTCAGGATACGGAATGAATGTAAATGTCTCGTCCTCGTGTTTAAGAAATCTAAGCTCGATGACTGAAACAAAGGTTGATTTGCGATACTGTTTCAACCGATGCTGAGCACAGGGCCCCTTAGAATGCAGACGACTGGCATAGTCCTTTCTTTTGCACCCTCAATGGCCATTTGATGAGACAACGCGAAATGCAGAAAATATTTGTTTGCATTCGAAAATTTGATGATTTATAAAATGAAAATGACTGAATAGTGGGAATGCACACACAGAACTAAAGAGAACAGTGTGGCGCAACCCGAAATGCATCAAGCGATGACTGAGAGGAAGTGCTCTTCTCGAGAGGAGAAACGGGCGACAGAGAGAGATGAGGGGGAAAAAATCCTAGACCGACTGCGAATGTTGTTCCGGCATAACTGGCACAACCAATCGGAGTAACAATTGATGCATATTGTGAATCAAAACCAGACGATGAGTACAATTGGGTGTTGTAAACAAAACCCCATTAGTGATTGTACAGGGGGGAAAATGACGAACAAGCTAATTCGAAAAACAGAGNAACAATGAAACGAACGAACGAACGCGAAAGAGCGATTAGGGTGGATTGAGTGAGACAAAACGATTTGCAAAAACTGATATGCTAAACGCAGGCGACCAAAAAGAAAGATCACAGTGCACGCTCGACAATGATCGAGTGGAATGAATGCAGTCTCAGTTGAACGCGGATCGATATCAGATTCGACGCAATTCATCTTCCAGTGCGTACAACTTCAACTTGAGGCTTTTCAATTCGTCCATCAAATGCACAGATCGTGTGGTCGAGGTTTTCACTTGTTCCAGAATAGCCAAATCCACATTTGCCTGACTAGCTGACGCGTCCATACCGTCGGTGAGACCGAGAGTAAGCTGACAGTGGAGAGAGAGAGAAATGGAGAATTGAGAAAATTGGCTACGAGGTGAGTAAATCGGAACGCTTTTGTACAATGTAAAGATTTGCACCAGCATGGAGTGAAACTGCACACATCTTGGTCAGGATTTGGATGTAGGTTTATGAGGCGGTAACTGGTTTGAGACCGTAGCACTTCTGTGCGTTACAGATTACTGAGAAACATCATTTTAAACCAGGGATAAGAAACAACACTACCACTTTTGCACTCAATATATTGTAGGGATGAATCAAGGATCAGCAAGGTTCATACAACACCGGCAACAGTATTGGTAATGCTGTACTACTATCATGATTGGCAACATAGTAACTAAGTACAATCAAAACTAATATTCTAAAAACCAGAGAAGGGCGTTGAAGGAAACAATAATACGATATAGCAGTGGATAGAAATAGTTACGGAAAATCAAAAGGAACTTAGCGGAGAAAGGATTTTGAGATGAGTGTTTCAGCCAAAACAGCAAAATCATCATCATTATCGTAAGGCGAACTACAGTGAAGCGAACTTCATTGATCCCTGCCAAACTCACAGTGCATACAAGGTTAGTGGTAATATATAAGGTGAACCTATTTTGAAGAGGGAGAAAACAGCAACAACAGAAAATCGAAAGAGTGGGCACTAAAAAAGAATAGTTGATTCTGTACCTTGAGCTATGACTTTTAATAGTGGTTTCTAATCAGAGACTACTTTGGTCCTTCATCTCTCAAGATTGGTCAAAGTCAAAGTTTTATTATGGGCGATTTAACAAAGCTAAAGCTTATCATGTTACATAAGATTTTTACAGAATCTTTTGAATAACTTCACGAAGAGAAAATAACGTGCAACCCAATCAATTGAGATAATTGTCTCTCGAATGGCTGGCCGGAAGTCCTCGTTCTTATGAGATTGTGGCAGTTAAATTCACCCATTATGAGGGCATGGATGAACTTTAGTGATAATGCATTCCTCATGGTTTGCAACAAAATCTCGTTTGCTGAGTCTGAAGATGCGGGAGGTCGGTACACAACACCGATTAGACACCTATAATTTTTGGAGTCTTACAGGACACCATAACGAATCGGGGGCTGCGTCGAGAATATCAAGCTGTTCACACTGTAAATTGTTTCGATGATAAAGCAGCACTCCACTGCTTTGTGTAGGACGATCACGTCTGAGCAGCGACATTCCAGATAGAAGTAATTCCGA